AAGGTCTACATCAAAAGAACCAACACGGGTCTCCTTCTGCATTTCCAGAGTCATGTTGACATTAAGTACAAGCGCAGCCTAGTTAACACCATGGTGGATCGCGCTTATCGATTATCTTCTAACTGGTCTTTCTTCTCCGAGGAATGTGACCGCCTTAGAGGGGTTTTTCATAACTTGAAATACCCAAAGCCACTGGTTGAAACTACAATCAAGCGGTTCGTTGAGAGAAGGATTTCATCTGCAGAACCCTGTCCATCACCAGACGTACCATCGGAGACTGTGAGATTAGTGTTACCCTTCAAGGACCAGTCGTCAGCTAATCATGTTAAACAACAACTGAACAGTCTAAGCTCGAAGTTAAGCGTGACTGTCCAACCAGTGTTCGTTAGCCCTAAGCTCGATCAACAGCTTAAGCAACACGAAATTAAGCCCCCTATTGTTAACCAACAATGTATCGTTTATGAATTTAAATGTAACCTGTGTGATGCAGGGTATGTGGGCTATACTCGTGGTCACTTACACGAGCGCGTAGAAGGGCACAAAAGGAAATCATCTTCTATCTACAAACACTACCACCTCCAGCACAATAGTGAAATGCCTGAACGCTTGATCGAGCAATTCAACGTCATCACGAAATGTAACGGCAAATTTGATTGCCTTGTTAATGAAATGTTGTATATTCGCATGCGTAAGCCAACACTGAACGTGCAAACGGATTCCATCCGCGCCAAGGTGTTTGTTTAAGCCGTTCAGTCTAATTTATGCTATTCTTGTACCTTTCCTTATTTGCATGTTTTTAAACTAGTCTCTTGATAATGGAGTCATGATGACCCCGAAACGTCGAGTAATAAATCTTTCCTGGTTTTTTCTATGCCTTTGCTTTAGCAAATCCCTGCTGATCAAGTATTTCAAATTGAGTACAAAATAATTAATTAAACGCGTTTTTCTCACTTTTTTAAACTAATTAGTAACAGTTATTAGTACACATTTGTTGGTGCTAATATTTAAACTGGCACTCCCTAGTGAAGAATTCTAGTTTAAGTTCGCCATCTTGAATTGGCTTGGATCACTCTGTTTCGATGGTCAAAGAAGTTACTGCTGGAGCTGACCATACAGAGGGTGGCGGCATATTGGGCAATTACGTCTAAAAGCAAAAGAAAAAAAAAACTGTGAGATACAGAGCGTTCCAAGTAAACTCTTCAAAGGCGGGAAAGAAGGAGTGATCAAGTCCCGAATGGGATGAGTTTTGCATCTGATTTGTTGAGAGGCTGACGCGGGTTTTCTAAACCAATCACAGGGCGAGGTGAAGGAAAGCCAGTATAATCCTGGTTACTTCTGAAACTCGATTGAAATTGCTCATAGCCGATAAGGACTCAAAGTGAAAGCAGGCAAACTCCTTGAAGCGCGGAAAAACGTGTGTGATCATGTCGCAATTGGGTTTAGAGGCTGGCACGAGTTTGCTGGACCGATCAAAGAGTGAAGTAGAGCAAAACCAAAGCAATCCCGGATTACTTTCGACACTCAGTCGGAAACTGTCGTTGGATACTGTACCACATCGCGTAAAATAGCGCAATTTATTATACTTACAGAATATGGGATGATGTTTACATCCCTAAAGCGTAAAAGCGTTTTCATGGCACTAGCTACGAGAATCTTAATAAATCAATTGACAACAGCGAAAACTTTCATGCTGACAACGTCGTCTCCCCCAAAGGACTGACGGCGTTATTCCTTTTCGTGTTTGAAATTTTCTTGATAATATCTGATCATCATTATCCTTTCTCATCATTATCGTCGCTACTATTCCTTCAGTTCTGCTCTCGCTCATTAATATCCTTTAAAACGTTACGAACAGTTGTTATCGGCTATTTAAGCATATATACTTACACGCCATTCTGTATCATTGCAATGGCACACTCCCTGTGAACCTTGTGAGAGCATGGCAGGATCTGACATCCGCTGAACGCGTCCTGAAATAGCGAGCAGAAATTGAAGTGTCAAAAATACTCACACCCTGAAGTGTTCATCATCATGAACTCTGTCTCCTGGGGCTTTCGATGTCGTTAAAGATTATTGTTACCAAGCGTAGACTCCCCGCTCGATGTTTAACGCAATTTAAAAGCATGAAATATGAGCTATAATTACCTCCAAGCAAATGCAACACTCGTCATGCCCTGAGTTTGGCCGGCATTTGTGTTTTCCTTCCAGTCGCTTGTCCAGGCAAACATTGCACACATCGCAGTGAAAAGATCTGTCCTTGTAAATGCTGAAAAACAGATTGTTGAAATTGTATAATACGGCCCATCACGTCACTAACGTCATTCCGAGCCGGCGGATTTTTCTTCCAAAACTTTAAATGTTTGCAAAGCAAAAACGATTGAAATGTTCTTTGGTAAAGTCAAACAGGCCAGTGTGCAATGTATCGTTTTCTTCTTTCAGTCTATGGTACATCTCTTGAAACTATCTCCAATATGTTTAAAGAAAACAAGACATTGTAAAAAGACGTTTGACTCTGTTTAAAACTGGCTAGGATGTTTCGCACACAAGTGAATAAATGTTTAAAAAGTCTTAGTGTCTTTCAATCGAAAAACAACTTACCGGCAGATTTCGCACTTCTCGCAGTGAAAAGGGTTCTTGTCAACTCCTGTAAAATGCTTACACTTTGGGCAGAAATATTCTGACAATTTTAAGCCACAACTTCTACAGGTTTGACTTCCTTCATTTATCTGCAGTAAATGAGAATATTACTGGTCAGAAGTAAAATATTTTGCCAAGAATTTGTCAAATGAACATTGCGAGCCATAATTGTTTCCGGCGTAAGCAATATTTGTTTAGCGGCGTGACTTAATCAGCTGCCCATTGGAGCAAACCTCTCTTGTTTTAACTGAGTGACGAAAATAAATCAGCATGAAGTATTGGTTTCAGTATAGAACTATATATGATCAAAACAAGACTCATACCACCTTACAACCCAATCAGATGCCAGACTAAGACAAGTGGGGACCTGGGCACAATTGTTTCCCGCGCTTTGTTCTGATTGGCCTTAATGTCCACGAGGAATTTGCTTGTTATGACGCTCAAGCTGAAAGCTTTCTATTGATCGTGGTTTTCTGATCAATCTGAGCTTAGATGTAACTCACTCCCATTGGATCTTAATGACAGGTATTTTGGGATAAAATCGTGTAACTACTCCTTAGCTACTTCAGTACGACAAGAGTCTAAGTATGCAAAAGAGGCTAACCTCTCCTTCGATTCCGCAATTTCCGCACTTGACATGCGTCGCATGATGTGCCTTCTTATCATCAGCAGGGCATGTCCCCGATAAATTGTGACAGCGGTGGCACGGATAAAACACTCCGCAACATGGAAACTTGACACTGCATCTCCGCTGGTAATGTTCACACTGCCACAGTGGAGTCTCTTGGAGGGGAAGGCTCTCATCTGCAATCCTGTCTTCTCTTATCCTTGTTTCCCGTTCTCTTCTCTCTTCCAATTCTCTTTCCATTCTCTCTCTATTTTCTATTTCTTCCCTCTCTCTTATTTCTCTTTCTTCTCTTTCTCTTATTTCTCTCTGTTCCCTCTCTTTTCTTTCTCTCTCGTCTTGTTCTCTCATTTTCCTTTGTTCTCTCCCTTTCCTTTCTCTTGCCTCTCTTTGCCTCTTTTCCCTTATCTCCCTATGTCTTTGTGCCGCCTCTCTCTGTCTTTTGGTTCGTTCTTCTCGTTCTTTAAGAATTCTATCGATTTCAGCTACTCTTTGTTCTAAAGAAACCAGTGAAGGGTCCCTAGGCGATACTGAAGCAAATGAACCCTCCTGTTGATTATTGAAAAGCTCATGGTTCCTCAAGCTTTCTTCTCGTCTCTCTGGATAAAAAATTTCTGGTGTGGTCAAACCACTATTTATTTGGTCATCTCTATAGTAGGGCCTGCATCTGCTGAAGTTCCCAACTCGTTCTCGTCCGTAACTACTTGACCCATCATAGGTGGAAGTAACTGGAGCTACACTTCCTGACATCGCACTTGAGGAAAATTGTGAGTCTATGGAAGGAAAATTTATCCTGTAATTTGGTGTGGTAACTGCTGGATATCTCACAGCGGGCGCCAATGGGCTGACTCCAGGTGAAGGTGACGCTGTCTGAGTGCCATTTCCCGCAATAAAGTCACAAAAACTTGAAAAGCTCGTTTGATGATTGTTACGTTGCAGATCTCCATTCCAGTTAAACAGGTCAACGTCGCGGCTGAAGCCACTGGCGCTGGGGAACTGCCCCATCACTGGTGTCATAGCTTGGTAAATCACTGGCATTGGATCTCTGTACCGTGAACTCACCCCCCTGGATTGTGTGTCCTCTCGCATCAACCCACCTATCTCCGGACCCAGCGAACGGGGGAGGTTCGAAAGTGAGGAGGAGCTGCTATTACTGGTTATAGAATGTTGGGTCCAATCGTTTGAATAATTGTTGCAAGCTCGCATGTCATAACTTTCTGCAAACGAGCTGTGCGGAAGACTCGGATCTGTGGAGTGCCGGGCGAGAAAATTTTGATTAATACCAGTTGTCTCTAAGGATGGTATCTTCTCATCATGATAGTTTGTTTCAAATGCGTTGAACGTGGTTGGATTCTGTGGACGATTCTTTGGTCTTGCTCCTTGACTTGTAACGTTACCGTTTCTTTCCCCTGAAAGCTCTGCATTATTCTCTTTTTCATAACTGCTAGTTTTCTGGGCGTCTTTTGCTTTTCCCTTTTCACTTCTGGTGTCGGAATTTTCACAAGAAGTATCATTATTGCTGCTGATACTGTTGCTACTGGCTAGGCTTCCATCATTGTTCTCAGCACAAGAGTTGCCCGTGTCCTCGTCAATGCTGTACTGTGAGTCAAATCGCAAGCTTGCGTTTAATTCTTCGGTCAGGGATTCCGCGGTTTCTTCTGACCCTACAGGTGTTTTTTCTGCATTTGGAAATGGGTGGGCTTGAACTTTGCATTTCTTAGCAAAGACGCCAAAATTGGTAGCACAGTCGTCATCGTTGTCGTCATCATCATCATCACCAAAGTCGTTATTGTCATTAAAACTGTTAACGTAATTATTGGCGTCCTTAATTCCATGCTTGACCTCTTCTTCAGAGTTACTTTCTTGGCTATCGCTAAGGTGATTTGTGTTATTGCAAAGATGATTATATTCTTCCATGTTTTCCGCTCCACTAGTGTGATGATCCAAGGGTAATTTCGAATATTTCGAGTTCAGTCGGCTTGACTGGTACACTTCCTCGTGTACATGTTCCATGTTGTTTTGCTGAATTGCAGTTTCCTTAGCTCCTATGGAAAGTTCAAATAGTACAGCTTTGTTACCGGTAGGTTTACTGATTGAGAAACAGTTCTTGTTGCTGAAAAAATCAACAGGTGAGATACCAGGGGATAGAGATGAGCAACTAAGGACAAAGGGCTCGATATAAGAAAGAAAAGGGGTAGATGTATGCATGTTAAAAGTAACAGGGTTCCTCTGACGCAAGTCCACACTCAAGAATGCTGCATCAAGATAAGTTATGAAAATACGGCTTTGTAGTCTGATCGATCAAACTAGTAGGATATCGGACGGTGTGGTGCCATTCTTGAGGTAGTAATATTGCGCCGGGACAAGATGATATTTGGGCCGTCTTTGAATTAAATTTTCAATATGTGTCTCGACGCAGAAAGTCAGATCGAACGGTAAAGGAAAGAATACCTACCATATCTTCCCTGATCTCTTTGCCGTCGTCTCTCGTCGGATAGCCGGTAATTTGCAACTCTGAGATTTCTTTTAGCAAGGTCACGTTCAAACAGAAGAAGGCCGTATTCTCTTTTAGGCAAACGACAGTAACGTTCTTCATCGATACGTTTCTCTTCGAACCATGAACACTCACCGGATGGTAAGTTTCTGGGGAAACTTTCAGCCTCGTTAGGATCCAGTGGACCAACAATGCAACAGCTAAGTTTCTCTGTGTTGCTGCTGGTTTTGTTTGAATGGTTCTGTTTTTCCCCGGAATGTCGCGGTGTAAAGGAGAATCAACGATACACTGAGGTGAAAAACAAGACAAAAACACGTCACAAGTTTTTAGAAAATTTCATGGTCGTAGCCACCTAAATCATGCATACACTGATCCTTGGACATGTTAAGAGTTCTTGAGCTTATCTTTGTACACGGGAATGTATAATAAAGGGTCGGAAACCGTTACGCGGGTAATCTTTTAGAGGACGGCCCGGGTAGTTCGGAGACCACACTGAACTCAAGGTTGTCGGGAGAGCAACAAGAAGATTTATTCCAGAGAATGAACGTAGTTTCCACGAAATAAAACTCTACTACAGTACGTAACTTGATAAACTTACACGGCCTCCGCCAACTTCACTCAACTTGAAAAATTCACACGGCCTCCGCCGACTTCGATAACACTGCCTTGTCTCACTTAACTGAACACGTTAAAGTCAAACTGTCTTCGCATGTGAAAACTAGTTAAAACCTCGCTTAGCCTCGCCTACTTATATACTTGCAAAATTAAATTCTAGATCTTTTTAAATAGTCTAATCATAGCAAGATTACAAAATATACCTCTTTTAGAAACTCTTGCGCAATTCACTAAAATAAACAGAGTATGACCTTTCGCGAAGCTTCTCGAAGTCGTGCTGGTCACGCAAAGCGATTTTTTTAACAGAAACGTTCATGCAAAGTTTCCTGCGCTTTAATACACATTTTGCGAACGGACTTCGAGACTTACTTTGGAAATTCCAAATATGGTTTGTTCGTTTGTTTATTTTTTTCCCCAGATTTCTTCAAGATGTACTTCTTATGTTTGCTCAAGGTCTCCTTTGAAGATAGTGTCGAGTACACGTACAGACTGAAGTAACATACATAATATTGCGAAATGATCAAATCATGCCATTGTTACTGTCGTCACGCAGTTCCGTCTTTGCCGATCATGGATAAGTCTACTTGTGTTTATTTTTGTTTGCTGAAGTGTAATGAATGTTGTTATGGTACTAGATAACAATCAAAATTATATATTACTATAATAGGAGTAGGTTACTACAGATTCCAAGGGTTGAAATTCAAGGACTTTTCAATGACTTTGAAGGCCAAGTTTGAGAAAATTGAAGGACCACTTTTGGAAAGGTTTGCATAAGCAATTTTAAAATCATTTAATATTATTTCTCAGCTTTTCCATGAAAGTACTGTTATTTTCAACTTGAAAATTGCTTAGAAAAAGCATTGCAAAAATCAAGCCCTAGTCCTCAAATTCAAGTACTTTCCTGGCCTTCAATTTTTTATTCCTTAAGGGAACTGACAAACCTTTTGAGTTAAAATGTATTAATCCTTCTAAAGTGTTCTCACTTTTGTCTAAGCTTTNGTGACTGATTACAACTACGGATGCAAAGACGAACTAAGGAATGGCTCTTAGAGTGTGTGCTGAAGCAATTTTCTTAGAATATTATTATTACCTACTGATTAATAAATAATATCACTTGACCAAGCGAGGTTCGCCGAAAACCAGGCGTGGCCGGAAACGGAACTGTATAAGTTAAATAGCAACTATTTACTTAGAACATACATTTGAAAAAGTTATTAAAATATGTCCGCGCGTGACACTCGCGTTTGAAATCTGTTTGGGTACACGCTACGCAATCATTCGGCAAAATGTTTTTCCAAATTTCTATTGAGCTAATCCAGCACTGGGGTGGACTTTGACATTGGTTTTGAACTTCTTGATTATGCAATTGATTAAAAAAAACAAACAAACAAACAAAAAAAAACAAAACAAAACAAACAAATTTGTTCTCTGGGTACAAATTACACGTGTTAAAAGAAAAAAATGCGTTAAAGAAATTATAGAACACTGGATTAATTTGATCTCCTGGCTTCAATACTCGTCTAGTAGCCAGATCCCAAGGCATCACGTTTATACTGTAAAAGAACATGGAAGGTCCATCTGTATTCGTCTACCCAAACAATCGCAGATTCTCTCACACGCGACTCTCGTTCCCAGTATCTCTAAATTCTATTTATTTTAACACTCGTATTTGCGTTAAGAAGTCTGGGTAGGAGGGTAGAAGGAGTGACAGTCAATGGACATGTGTCTCACGTCACGTGTTCGGGTGAGAAAGCATGTCCCACGTGCTGAGCCATTTCCGTCTGTTGATGTCGGCAGAAGAGAGAGCTACGTCACCATATGTGAAAGGACTGAAGAAATAAAATCCCCATAGAACCACTACAATCAAGAGTGCGCAACATCCGTACAAAATCCATCGAAGTGATTTGTATCTGGGGAGAGAGAGAGAGAGAGAGCACACTTGCAACTGTTAAGTTTGAAATTAAGAGAGGGACAAAAGAGAAACAATGGTACTTGCAACACTTAAGGTCGCTTTTTTGTGATGATTGAAATAATGATTTTTAAATCGAGTGTCGAAGGTTAGCAAAAGTCGCCTTTGTTTTATTTTGATTTGCTCTGTGATTAGTCCAGAAAACTCAGACACTCTCATCCAATCATATGCCGCACTTGAGGCAGTTTGCCTCATTTCACCTTTCAAAGTTGCGTTGGTCGTTGCTTGTTAATACAGAAAACGAGTCCGTTCCATTCCAAAATAACATTTCAGCAAATTTCAAAGGAGCGCTTTTCGATTCAGTGTCGTAAGACCAAAGTAATCACAACGGCCAATCAGATTAAAGGAAAATACCCTGAAGAGCCAATAAGAACACAACATAAAGGCAAGCAAACCACCTAAAATGCAGGAAAACGCAGTCGACCAGGTCATGAAAAGTGTGGCGCGAGTTTTCTGGACCAATGATAGAGCAGAGTAAAGCAAACTTAGTGCAATCCTGGATTGCACTAAGTATGTTTTGAACGTTACATGTCAAAGCGAATTTTGTTTTTCGCTTATTTAATGTGTTCTTCCGTTTCCGGGGCCAAAGCACTAAAAAAACGTGTCTGCGATTTGCCTTATTCAATTTCAGTGAAAAGTTACAGAACATTTTTGAAATAGGATTAAAAAAAATGTGGAGTGATCGTACAAAAATCGCTCTTGAAAAAAAAGTATTTAGACTAAAAAATTCGGAGACAACGTTTTGTTGTTTATATGTAAAGCTAGCTACTATCAAAATTTGAGAGCAATGGAACAAATTTCCTTTGACTTGTAGCTCTTAAAAGGTGATTCGGGCGCTCGCATTCAGAAGTCATGAAAAATTCGACAATTAATTTGTTTTCAAAATTTTTGGTATAGTCTGATAGCCAGTCCTAGAAGCTTTAATTTGATGAAGTGGTTTAGATATCTACAGTTTAAACTGGACGCGCTACATCGCTTGCACGCGAGACACCCCTGAAGGTGCACGGTAACCTTAAGATGTCTTTTTATCTTAGGAGGAATAAAGATTGATTGATTGTTTTAAGTTTAATCCACTCCCGTGGCGAATGGATTAAACTTAAACTTAAACTGGAACGTCTACGAAAAACGTACTTCACGAAATCGTGTATTCACGTTACTCTAATCTATGCAAAATTATGTTATTTGATAAATCTATTGCGAAGTGGCACGTGCTTGCATGAAAAGTAATCGAGGTAAACGACAACATTTAAGTGATTTCACTTAAATTATTTCGGGAAAATTTGCCATTCAGTGTCCATGTTCAAATATATACTTTGCTTTAAGGGAATTGAAAAAGAAAATGATCGGTTTTTGTATAGAGTAAGAGGAGGACATATTGTTCGATTAGCATCGCCGCGTTTGAGAATCTCGAAGTTTTCTTTAAGAGATAGTTACGCTGCGAGTGGGAAGAAAGAGCGACTCATCTTTCAGTCGAAAGGATCACTGCAAGAAACAAGTAACTTATTAGTTTATTAGCTTTCTGCTGCTCTTCATGATAATTCTCCATGCCTAAAGTAGCGGCAACTCATCGTCAATCTCTGTAGTCCATTAAGCTGACATATTATTCCGTTTACAATCTCTATCGTTAGTATGAAAGAAAACCATCCCTAGCCAATCAGAATTTGCGAAAGTATCGGACGAAACGGTTAACCAAAAAGTCATCATATCTTTTCTTGCAAAAAGGTAAGATGTCTGTTTAAAAGCTTGTTACGTTATTCGCTCGTAACAAAATACATGTCATTCATTATATTGTGAACGAACAATTAATATAACGCTTTCGACGTTGTCGTTCTTAGGCAAGACACTTTACTCTCACAGTGCCTCTCTTCACCCAGGTGTATAAATGGGTACCGGCAATTTAATGCTCGGGGTAACCCTGCGATGGACTGGCATCCCATCTAGGGGGGAGTAGAAATACTCCTAGTCGCTTCATGCTACAGAAACCGGAGTTAAGCACCGGCCTAATGGGCCACTAGGCTCGTAAACAGACTTTACCTTTATCTTTCGACGTTGTAAGCACGTTTCCTTCACAATTAACGAAAAATGGCACGTGTTTCCTAGAGCTGAAGGAAGGCTTGATCGGCAAATGTGATGAGCAAGCAGTTTACTCCACTGGGGCACCAAATTCTCTCCTGTTCGTCTGGATTTCCTGTTAGCGGACGGACGAGCAAGATTCACAATGTACATGTAGCTTTCGATGAAAAAACCCCCAGATCCGAACAGTTATGGTTCAAAAGAAGAGAGTTGCAAATTTTCAAAATGTAAACTACATTAATCGTCCCAAGTTAATAAAAAAGTACATGTACACGGAGAAATTATAACTATTAAAATAACTTTAGAAATAAGGAACTACATCTAGGATTTATAGTGTAGACGTTTGGGAAAACTAATTTCCATTTTTGCCCAAAACTTCTAGTAAAAATAAACTTACCGGTTTGTCAAATCGACATATTCCGGCTAACTC